GGAGACCACGACTGCTGGGACACTGACCACTGCAGCGTCAACTTCTTCCAGCAGTGTTCAGAAGCAGGAGTAAGAACAGGCGCGGGCTGGGCCGCCCACGGTGAGGAGGGGCGCGCCAGCTCGGCAGGAAGGCCCCCAGGCAGGGCAGGCCGTGGCCACACGGGCAGGCGTGCGAATGAGCGGAACTGCTTCTCAAGTTACTCCAGTGAGCTTAAAGGCATCTCCTTCGAGAACGACACAGTGCCCGTTAACTGAGGAATGAGTAAACCAATTGCACATCCACACAATGGAATGAGAGTCAGAAATAAAAAAGAACAAACCACTGATACACACTGGCCTCAAAAAACTAGATACCATATGACTGACTGATAAGCTTATATGAAATTCCAGAGGAGACAGACAGGGTGACAGGAGGCAGCGCACAGCCTGTGGTAGGCTGGCCGCAGAAGGGCGCAGGGAAACCCCCGGCCCTGCTCTACTGAGACGCGACTGACCTGCGACACTGCAACAGTTGAAGGTGTACAGCACGACCTGCTGCGGGCGCGCGCTGAGCAGTGCCCGCCACAGCACGCGTAGTCGACTTCCATCATCTCATATACTTAGAACGCTTTTTCTTGTAGTACGATGAAACCTTTTTTTTTTTTTTGAGAGGGCATCTCTCATATTTATTGATCAAATGGTTGTTAACAACAATAAAATTCAGTATAGGGGGGTCAATGCTCAATGTACAATCATTAATCCAAGTAAGATGAAACTTTTCAGTGATGACAGAATAGTGCTAAGCCATGATATTTGTTAATATTCATCAAGATACAGTTAGCATAGTGAATTCTGTTCAGTTTTAATTTCATCTTAATAAACCATTTTTTAAAGTTCTTGTTTGGCGGCCTGGGTAGCTTGTACCGTCAAGCGCGTAGCTCCTTCACCCAAGCTGGTGTTCAAAGCAAAGGGAAGGGGAGGGTGGGAAGGGGATTTTAAGAACCGCCCCCCCCAAGGGTGGTTACCCAACGGCCTGAGATCACACAGGCCCTTTACAAGCAGAGTTTTCTGTGCTGCCGGTGGGCGTGTGAAGCTCACGGGCTCTGATACACAGAAGGTCTTGGATGCTGAGGCGAAGGGGCCACATGGCGAAGCCCTGAGCCTGGTCTCTCGAAACACCGTGGTGCCTGGTCAGAAGCTGCTCAGAATGTGGAAACCTCGGTCCCACAGCAGCAAGGGAGTCCTCCTCGGGAGTCAGCGCCTCCAGCACCACGAGGCAGCCGGGAGGAAGACCTCCTCCGGCCGAGCCTCCAGGGGAGGGCCCGGCAGGTCTCGGTGCCATCCGCTTGGAGGCCGCGACAGAGGGCCCAGCTAAAGCACGCCCGAGTCCTGACCCATGGGAGCCGAATAGGAAGCCTGTGTTCCTCTAGGCCACCAAGTTTATAGTAATTGTTACAGAGCAATAGAAAACGAACACAGAGTGACAAAGGTGGAATAGCGCCTCCACCTCATCATACAAAAGTTCTAACTAGAACTTAGAATCTGCGAAGCCTCTACCCTTCCCACAGTGAACCTCAGCCCTCACGTTTATTCGCTACCTCACATTACTATCTATAGTCTTGTCTACCATTAGATTATAAGTTACTTTAGAGACAAACTGCCTGTTGATCTTTGAAGAAATAACCTGTAGTTATTAACCTACTACCCCCAAAGTGTTTAACACACTGTCTTATTATTAATAAGTGAATAAAACTATATGTATATATACATGTATATGTATATATATGATGCACATACCTCTATATAAGTAGAAATTCTTTACTTTTGGCCACAGCTTTCTACAGCAAAGTTTTATGTACATACTTAGTTATTCAGGGAATGAAGAAATTCTATATAGTTTAACAAAATGAATCTTGGAAAGTCATATAAAAATCACTGTTGAGAGGCACTGCTGCTCTCTAAAGCATGCTTTTTAAAAATGGTGATACAACAAAATGAAAATATTAATCTCTAATCACAAGATGTTAAGAGTGACAACATAGCGTCCCTTGCAAAACTTTATGATAGAGAAGTTGTTGTCTTAAGTGAATATATATCAGCATTCAAAAACAAGCAAAACTCTTGGTGGCCCCAAGAATAGAAGAGATCCAGAGATAAGGACAGTACACAGGATCAGTTTCAGGTAAGACCTTCCCAATCGAAGGCATGTCGGAAGGGTCCTACTGCAGAAGGTGCGCTCGGAGACCTTCTGGAAGCAAGAGCTCGGGAAGGCCTGAGGAGCAGGCAGCAGTGCCTCCAGCCGCCCCCAGCACACGACCACCTGCACAGACAGGCAGTACAGGAAAGAACTCCAAACTTCCATTCTTTACCCAGCCAAACGACCCTGCAGGACTTTCACCTGCAGCCAGGATGCAGGAACAGGAACCAGAGCTACCCTCCATCTTAAACGACCAAAAGTCTGGACAAAAGGTATGAAATGATGGTTTTCAGGCTCTGGATACCAGGCAGCCATGGCATGTGAACCCTGGGAGAAAGCAGACCACCAAGGCAGGCCCACAGCTGCCCAGCTCACTGCCAGGCAGGACTCCAGGCTGCGGCACAAGGACCGGGTCCCAAGAGCCTAGAGGTTTCCCAGGTTAGAGGAACAGCAGTCCCAGCCTGGGGAGCTGGAGCTCACGACAGTTTTCAGAACAGAGTGCCACATGGGCGAGGGCACTGGCAGCACTGGCAGGGAGGGATTCCTCTGAGTCTCCCGCTGGACAACTCACACCGCCAGCAATACCCGAGGTTCATCAGGACCAGAAGTACTTCGTGCCCCCTACAGCCAGAGGGGAACGGACTCCAAACCTGCAGGGCATGGCTCACTCAGCACTGCCTTGGCGGCAGGGCCAAATTAGCTCCAGACTAAAGGCTGTACTGGGTATGCCCAGAGAATGAAGCCTTGGAAGACTCACTATTTCCAAGTGACTTAACAGCATCCCAGAATAAAGCCCCAACAAATCAGATTTTTTTTTAATGCAAAATAAAATACACAATGCCTGGCATCCAATTGCGAGTTACCAAATATGTAAAAAAGCAGGAAAAGATGACCCAAAAAAGGAGAAAAAAAAAACCAATCAACAGGCTCAGAAGTGATGATGACAACAGATTCACTAGACAAGGTCACTAGAACAGCTTTATAATTATATTCCATATTCTCAAGAAGGTAGACAAAAAGCCCAACTATTATAGACAGAGACACAGAAAGTATAAAAATGACCCAAATAAACCTTAAGAGACAAAAAATACAATGTCTGAGATGAAAAATACACAATGTCTAGATGGAATTAACAGCAAAGTAAAAAAAGCAGAAGAAAATGTTAATGTACCTGAAAATAAAGAAATAGAAGCTATCCAAAATGAAACAGAAAGTAACTGAAAAAAAAAATGAAGAGAGCATCAGTGATCTGTTGAGAAAGCATCACCTGGTCTAATATATGGGTCCTGAGCATCCTAGAAAGAAAAAGTGAAAAACAAACAATGTTTTGAAAAATTGGCTGAAATTTTTCAAAATTTGATGAAAATTATAAACCCACAGATCCAAGCAGCTCAATAATCCACAGCAAAATAAACATAAGGAAAAGTACACCAAGAGACATCATAATCAAACTGCTTCCAGTGATCAAGAGAAAATTAAAAGTCCTCAGAGAAAAAAGACATTACATATTGAGGAAAAAGATAAGAATGACAGCAGACTTCTTGTCAGAAACAGGCATGCCCAAAAAATAAGTGGATGGACATCCTTAAAGTACTGAATGAAAAAAACCTTTCAACCTGTAATACTATAGCCAGCAAAAATATTTTTCAGAAAAGAAGGCGAAATACTTTCTCAGACATACAAATGCTGCTAAGCATCCACCAGAGGACCACCTACTACGGTCATCATTCAAGCATGAGGACAAACACGTGTCCCAACAAATCCTGGAAGTTTGTCTCCAAAGAATTATCAGAGGATATTCTCCAGCATGAAGAAAAACAAACAGGGGAGAATGGTCAGCTGTAAATAACAATGCTGAGAAAGTGATCTGTAAATCTTGACAAGTCTAATAATTTTTAAATATTTTAAATTAAAATCTAATAAAAATTCCAGATACTATTAACATGGGAGACATGGAGCAAGGGAAGATGCGGGTTTTCCTCTACTATCTATAGGAAGGATACAAATACAGATCAATTCCAAATATTAGAAAAACATCAACTGATGTATGTTAAAAATATGAAGGGTGACCATTAAAATATTTAACTATCTTTTTATGATATTAATTCAAAGAAAAAATATCCTGATTGGAATAGTTACATTAATTAACTCATAAAGATGCTACAGATGAACTTACAGTAGATATGTCATGTCTACTCAAAGTGTATGACCACATAATCAACCTATTTCATACGTGTGCACAACGCCTCATGGGGTGCTGGGCTGAAGAAATAATCATCAGTTCTGTGAACAAAAGGTCAAAAGGCATTTGTGCATCTCTGTGTGTCAAAACTATTCAGTTTTAACTGCCGAAATGATTATCTAAGAGCTGTCAATATTTTCTTGGATCCGTGACTTAATTAACTGGCATAACTGGAGGCTTTAATATACTTTTGCTTCTAATATGCTTTTGAGAAAATGCATAGTTACACATATTTATCCAAATGTTTATTTTCCATTTTTTCCCAATATTCTTTGTTACTTAAAAGTATTTTTTCTTAATTTTTTTTTTTAAGGAAGGATACAGTTGTTGTTTTTTTTAGTTTTAAAGGAAGGATACAATTACGAACTTAACGGATTAACCAAAATAAAAATAGAATTTCCCCCCTAGCATAAAACATATAGCAGAAGAGAGGTTAAACAAGTTAAAATATACCACAACGTCATACTCTGCAAAAGATTAAATGTTGGCAAAAGATTACAATTCTTTTCACTTATACCTACCTTACTCCAGGACTTTGCTGTGAATACTACTACGTTCAAACGTTAAAAAGAAGCAGCGTACCGTATGTCCTTCCGCCCGGGCCTTGTTCCGCCGCGCCTCCTGCTTGCGCTGCAGGAACTCCTCCACCTGCCGCGCCCTGTCCGCAGCTTGCCGTCCCTTCTGCCTGAGCCATTGGTACACACAGGGGAGTCAGAAACTCTCAACATTAAATATCCCCCAAAATTAAAAATATATACATATTCTAAATATTTTCTTTGTTGCAGAATGAATATAAAGAAAGGCTGATATGAAGTAAGAATTTCCTCTGTAATGAAAAACAGGTACACACATATTCACACCTGCTACCTACATGTATTTCAAATGGAGGTAAAATCTATACTACTGCTCCAAATCTTAACAAGGTTTCTCTTTCATTTATTCAATCTATTCTACTTATGGACACATACAATTATTTTAGGCTATACCTAATCATAGAAGAATCTCAACAGTTTACAAGTAATTAAGTTTATTTCAGAACTCTATCAAATATATAATAACCTTGAATCAGTACTGAAGTAAAATTAAAGCATATAATACCAATTTCAAAACTGAAAAAGAAGGAGCAGTTTATTTCTGTGAGTGTGCAAAAAATAGAGTGAAAAGCATTGTTAAAATTCCCTGAATATTACAAGTATTAATAAATAAATCAGGTTGGAGAGAAAACTAAAAGCACAGTTATTTGTTTTGACCTTCCCCAATTACCTTTCTATGTATCTTTGACAATACGAAGGAATGTAAACATTCCTGAGCCTAGAATATAAATAAAAAAATGTCATTAACCAACGTGTATTTAATATTGAATATATACTGTGCCCATTACGGTGCTAAGTATGGGAGGTAAAACAGGACCAGAGAACGCAGAGCGCAGTGCTGACCGCAGTGGGAAGAAAGATGGGAGTGACTGGCCCCAGCCCTGGGTTGCGGTCACTGAGGCGCACAAGCTCCCGTGGCCACTCGTTAGGACTCTACGTCATACTCTGAAAAATATATGACATATGCCTTTCTGTCTTCCAGTAAGTTTAAACACTTACGATTTTCATGCCCCAAACAATCACTTACTTTATATCATCTGGCAACAACTATTAACTGAAACATAAAACGTATTTTAAGTTTGAAATTAAGCTGCAACAGCTTAAAATCTGCTTCACCACAAAGCTATGAATAGTCCTGGAGAAAAGTTCGTTTACCTAATGTGGTACTTAAAAGAGTATCTTGTTCAAGCTCCTTCACTGGAGTTTTCTAGGATTAGATAATCTCCATAGCTGGTCAAGGACTCTTCATCATGACCCTCAGATATGTGTGGGGAGCTACATCTTAATCTAGATGTACATCACCCACCCAGGGCAGCTTGACTAGGTGTGGAACGATGAGCCTGAAGCTCCTCATGCCGTCCTCGGCAGTCGTCCCAAGCTCCGAGGCACGTCTGGTCTACATGCTACGTGCCTCTTCCATGTGTCCAGGCAAGGCTGTGTCCTAGTCTCCCAAAGCCTCGTTTACATAAGGCTGGGCCTAAGGAGGGCAAATAAACTTGCAGAGGATCTGACGCTCAGGCATGTAATCCAAAACTGTATGCCTGACTGGTCAGTCTTTTTGGGGGGGTTCTGGAAGCTTACACTACCATCTGCAACTAGACAAAATTGCTGATAGCTCTGCTGTGTATCCTGATGCATCAACTTCCTTCACGATTGAGGTCCCATCCTAAGATACAATGTTCAATATTTGTTAGTCTGAACAACTTCAATTGACATACGTTAACACTGCAGTGGCACAGCATTACTTTACTAAGAACCTGGTCAAATGTTTAATAGCTTTGACTCACAGATTTTTATACCATTTATGTATACATAGTAATACCTGCTCTATCTATTTATATGATTTACAAGTTTTACTTCACTGAATAGTCAAGTTGGTTAAATAAAGGAGGGTTTCAGAACTGGGTGCTTTCAATCACAAACTAAAAAACTGTGGTGATTTTTGCTTAACATTATTTCTTTTCTTATTTTATTAAACAAATACTTATTGGGTGTTAAACTGTTTGTCAGTATTCTATCTGGCAATGAAGATATAAAGATGTCAGTGCTGCAGGAATGCAAGGCTGGTTCATACAAAAATCAATCAAAGAAAGATGCCATATTAAAAGAATAAAGGGTGAAGCTAGTTTGAATGAGTCTATGACTCCTTGTAATGTTTCAAAACCTATAAACTGTATTTTTCAAATGCATTTCTGTTTACTAAATCATATCCACCAAAGAAAAGAACCTATACTCATAGTCTTATTCCTTCTCTCAAAAGTAGTAAAACTGCTAAACTTGAGCACAAACTATGTGTTTGTGCTAGGCTCATGGGGATAAAAAGAAAATAGTCAATTTCATTCTTAACATTGATTCTCTTCATTAAACATTAAGAATTCATGTGCACATACTCTGTTTTAGACAAATTAATATACTATCTTTTGAACTCCAAAATCATACCACTGAAATCACAGAACAGTAATCTGGATTAATAGTAAAGGAATGATAATATGAACCACAAATATACAGTAAGAAATTATGAATTTGGAAAGTAAAACATAGAGACTTTAAAATAGGTTAAGAAGAAATAATTATTCTGAGACAAACTCCTTTTTTATCCTGACAAGAAAAAAAGGGAGTAAATTCTTTCCTTATTACAAATGCATGAATAAGTGGCAAGATGTAGGCAGGGTACAGGCTCAAATCCTTTACTGATGAGGAAATTAAAGAATTTTAAGAATGATTGTAAATAGATTACTTTTGAGGTGAAAACAACATAAAAATAGATAGCAGTCTAGGTAGCGGAAATAAACTGAGAAATGAAAAAAGAGTCCATGCGGTTTTAGGTAGAAGAGCTGGGGTGGCACAGGGTCAGCGGATGGAAAAACGATGCAACAGCCCCCTCACTGAGCTTTCTTCTCTGTTTAAGTGCCATGACATCCATCTGACAAAATGGAATTATTCTCAGCTTTACTCAAATGAAATAAAGCAATATATATAGAGACACTTGGAAAAGTTAAAAGTACTCTAAAACAGATGTTAAAAGACACTCAATAGTTTTATAAAATGGTCTTATGTGGCTGAAATTGTAATATTGAAAAGTAACTGAATGTAAGTTTATCAGCTGTAACTGACAGTATATGGGAAATCTCTTCTCTGTGAACTTAATTTTGCTGTGAACTTAAAACTGCTTTAAAAAAATGAAGTCAACAACACAATAGTAACCACAATGTTTTACATGTGAAACCTTCATAAGAGTGCATGTCAATAATACCTTAATAAAAAAATGACGTCATTTTAAAAAAGGCTAATCGAAGAGATATGTTAAGGCATGGATAGAAGCAGTCGAACTGGCCAGAGTTACTGATAAGAACGGGACAAGAAAAATAATTAATACTCTAAGGAAGGAACAGGCAAATATGAGCAATCTACAATACAAGGAAAAGAGAATTTGAAAAAGACTTAGCTGATTACAGATTTTAGTCTGATTCAGCTGGACTGGGGAAAAGAACTGACCAGCAGTGAAATGTTTCACACATCGGAGTGAAAATCAGAAGTCAGAAGTTATGGCAGTGCAGAGAAAATGTTCCACAATGTCAATGGCCACTAAAAAGTACAAAAGAATCATAATATTCAAATTGGAGACCTTGAGTATTAACTAATCCAACCTCTCACAGAATAAAGTACTCCCACATTCCTAGCTAATTATAAATATCCCTGACACATAGTCATTCAAACCTCGAGCTTAGTGCTTCCAGTGTGAGGACATTCGCTGACTCCCATGACGGTCCACCCACTGAACAGCCTTCACGCTGGGCTAGAACCTGTCCCTCTGCTTCTCCTCATCAAAGTAACTCAACACTATGCGAATATAAAGGAGTCTGATTCCTCATCTACACACAGGCCGTCCAGCTCTCCTGAGCTTGCGTCTATAAGCATGCTTTCTTTAAAGGTGGCCGACTTTCCCCAGCTCATTTAATTTTCTTCCTAACTTGTTTCAAGTCCAGTAAAGTCAATATAGCACAACATCTCAGTGAGTCAACTTTGGAATCAAACTGTCCAACTTCAACTCCTGGTTTTACTGATAAAGTTATATGGCTTAACAAATGACTTATTTATTCAGGGCTTCAATTTTTAATATGTAAAACAGGGAGATAAACAATACTAATCATAGCATTGATGAGAACTACATCCCCTAAACTACAAAGTCACAGGAACACTGAAGCAGTGAAAACCAAATATTATCTGTAGGAGAAACACAGGGTCATGCTCCACCAGCCTTTTCTTTCAACATCTGTGTCCATGGATTGACATATAACCTCGTTTAATGACAGCTTACTTAACATGTATGGTTGATTCATTAACACTCAAGTGTCCAACACACCTCAGCAAAGCTGATCTGACACAACTTATTTTCTCCATAAGCACATCCCAGCCTTCCTGCACTTACAGATACTAGACAGCACTTCTGCATTATGTTTGAGGACCATTGTAAATGATGGGATCACCCACAGAATGTGCAAAAATTCAAGCAAGTTGGTACTAAGCAGACAACGTAAAGCCCGCTGTTTGTGCTGGGATGAGAGCAGAGGGCTGCCTTGCTCAGCATCAGCCAGGGTATGTACATCGGGCAGCTCAGATTTTTGCTGCTCTGCTTACATCCACACATGAACATAAAAGCGCTGGGCGCAGTGATTGTGGGGTCACAGGTAGATTTTAGTAAGTAGCCAAATTCAGCCATGCAATCCACAAAGGAAGACTATGTGCATAAACTACTTCAAACCAGGGGGCAATAAAACGGGCACTGACATACACTGATAGGTTGAGCATGAATTTGTACAGCTTTTCTAAAATATTTAGTAATATCTTGTTAATAAATTTAGCTAAATAAGTAAATTTAGTTAATAAATTTAGTAGTATTTCTTTCTAGAGTCTTTGTCAAGAATAGAACTGACCAACTCCTTTACCCCAGTAATTGCCCTTCTAAGAATCTATCTTAGAGAAATGAAAAATAAAATACAGCACAAAAATATTTTAAAAAATGAAAAGTTATAAACAGCATATTATATTAGGGGATTTGTTATATAAATTATGGTAATTCAGACACTGGAATCTTACACAGACATCAAAAATCCCTTGAAAACAATTTGTAGCATGGGGAAATTTTATTGTAAAAGTGTTACATACAAAACCGATTTTATAAAACATTATACACAAATTTGTGCATGTGATTGGATCTCAACCAGGGGGAAAATATGAAAAAAGAATGCAAGAAAATAGACCAAAATCTTCTCTCAGAGTGGCTGCCTGTGTAGGAATGAGACTAATTTCCTGTTGTTCCCTGACACCGCCCTATGCTTTCCAGTCTCTCCAAGGCCGACCTGAATCACGCTGGCCAGCAGAAGGGAAGGCAGAAGAGCCACTTGTGACTTTTCTTTGTATTTGCTATTTCCCTGAGCAAAAGAGGGAGAAAGAAAGGTATAAAATCTGGCCAAGAACACTAAGTGAAAGGAAGATGGCAAGGTATTCAGCCACTAGTATTTCTAAAATAGGAAACTCATGAGCAGTCCTGAACTCGGCAAAGAAAACAGGATTAAAAGGAAAGGTAAGGATGAGAAGAAAAAAAAAGAACGAACGCCTTTGAGTAAAACAAAACACCGAGGCACAAAGACAATAGCTTAAGGTTGATGGAGGAGTAAAGTCGTTGATCTGTGACGGTGGGAAAGGGTTCCAGGGTCTGTCAGTGAGCACGCAAGTAGGAGAGTATCGCACAGACAGTAGTTGCATCTTTCCCTTACCAATGATTACTAACTAGGAATATTTTTATTCTTAAAGCAAAATATAATTATACTAGTTTGAAGGCTTTTTTCTTTTTCCTTTTCATTTACAAGTTTACATGAGAGAAGCAAACCTTTCAAACAGTTAAACCTGCGGATCTATGAGTATGGTTAAAACTTGCTTCTTTCCCCTAATATAAACCACTGGAGTATATACGCTACCAGGATCTGAAAATAAGGGAAATGAATTTGACTACTCGATATTAAGCTGTACAATCAACACACTAAAAAGAAAAAAAGCTGTAAAGCCACCCTCATGAGACGAATGCTTGCTGAAAGAGGCGAAGTGTTGTTGAAAGGTGACCATACTACCGTGTATGAACAAAAGAACCTAAGGTGGCGACAGTAGCAGAGGCGGAGGGGATGGCGGGGGAGACGAGGGTGCCCGAGTGGCTCCCTGTGCAGCCTCCACACGACGACCGGGGACCGCCAGGCCTGACTCAGGGCCTCGCGGCGCTTCTGCAAAGGCCCGCTTCTACTGGAGGGAGGCAGACCTCAGGGCGCCAGAGCGCCCTGGCAGACCCACTAGCCCAGGCTGAGAACGGCAGCGGGGACCGGCCGGTGTTTGTTCTCTGGTCAGCGCTTGTCCGCCTCTAGGCTTTCAAGAGTTGTCAACATTGTAAGAAACAACTATACAATCTTTACAGGTCCAAATTTATTTACCCCAAAAGGATAATCTGTATTCTAAGATTATGTCAACCTACTTATTTTCACAGTAAAAAGGATGGATTTAGAGCTGATCCTTTCTTTTTAAAGAGCTTATCTCTGGAAAAATCAAAAGTTGCAAATCCTTCATCAGGTCTCCAATTTTATTTTATTTTATACATCTAGTAAATAACTGCCGGCCTACATCAGGGCCAGAAGAGAGCAGGCCTAGCCAGGCAAAGGCATTCTGGGCAGAGGGAGCAGCGGGGCGCAGGCACCTGGGGGAGCGGCCCTGCGCCTGCGCCTGCGCCTTCCCCAAGCGCGGGGGCAGAAGGGCCGTGGCAGTGCGCAGGCCGCCACCTGACCTGCAGCCCACTTACGGGCTGTGATCTGATCCAAGGAGAATAGAGCTTATCAGTTCAATTTTTTTAAGTATATGCTACTTATAAATCTTTTCCAAGTGTGTATTGATTTGTCCAGACAGATTGGCAGACTTAAAAGTACATTAAAAAAAAAAAAGTACATCAAATTTATCACTGTTAAATATTATCTAAATCAAGTTGTTTGTAGCTATGGTCTACTGAAATTATTTTGTTTCCTGATCAATCGTACTACAGATTCATTATTACTTTCCACTTCATGGAACTGTGACAACTATATCCTTTGAATATCTTTTCTACACTCCCCCTTTAAAAATCAAGATTTGTTTAAGGAGGACAAGCTTTTCAAACTTTTTTATTTGGATGACATTAAAATACTAGCCAGCATCTTCTAGATACAATTATTTAACCAGTTATTAAGCCACCTAACAATCTTTATATTTCTTCACCTTTTCTACATTGAGACATGTTAGCAGCAATATATTGCTCAAGTTTATATACTCTCCTGGGTATCTAAATAATTTTTCACAATGCCTCTTGGCCAACAAAAATACCAAGCAGTTCCATTTATTACGTACTTGGGCCCAAACTACTTAAGAGTAGCGGTCTGTGCTCTGCCCACAGACACAGCTGTGTCTCCCTCAAAACTGTAAGATGCCCAGGCACTGGGATGCCCCAGGTCGCCTGAGCACAGTCTGAGAACCGGACTTCTAGCCGATAACCCGAAAAGGAAATACATGATGTACCTGACATGATCTATTCTCTGTGAATTTATACTGCCATCAGGATGATCACAGCTTTCTCCTAAGATGTCTAACCTTGCCTGGGATCAACGCGAAAAAAAGCAGTCCAGCTTATAAAATCTGTCTTTTGAAAATTAAATACTTGATAATCTTCAGTTTTCTACCAATTTTTCCTTTTTCATTTTCCTCAGATAAAATCAAAATAAATTCAATGGGCATATATGAAAGTTAATTTAGAACTTCGTATCATGTTTACTCTTTAAAGTACTCAATATTTTAAAATTTTATGACCAACTAAATCATTAGTTCTTCAGTCTGATCAGTGGTAGTATCTTAAGCTGATAAATCTTCGCGACATAGTATTTATGGAGTTGAACGCTACAGTCAGATGGACTTAGTTTGAAGCCCAGCTCGACCATTTACTAGCTGCCTGACCCTGCCCCAGTTTTAAATTGCTGTAAGTCCTGTTTTTCATCTTTATTAAAAGAACAGTATCTAATTCAAAGGGCTGCCATGATGAATAAATACAACTTGGTATATAACAAGTGTTCAACAAATATCTATAACCAACACCAAAAACAGTAACTTTACTACAACATAAAAAATGTACATTGTATGTTTGAGTACTGCTAAGCCCACCACAGCTCATATAAATGAAATGATAAATGATCTCACAACTACAATGGTTTAAAAACTGGAAATTGAAATAGTGAAACAATTATCTGATGCTCAAAGAAAGACTGAATGGCGGGTAGAGTGGAAGACGTAACAGATTCACACCATTGGGGACAATGCAACACTTTATAAATATATGCAAATATTTCAAGGTCATAATAGGAGTTGGAACAAATGGCCCAGTGTAGCCCATTATTTGTCACTTCAACTGAAAAACTAAGAAACATTCTGCAATATGAACAGTGTAATGAAGCAAACACAGTTTTCTCTATTTTCTTTACACTACCCACATTTATTTTAGAAGATCTAATTACTATAAAATAAAATAAAGCCTAATAAATTATATGCTAGAAGATCAGTACCACTGGAGAATAAAAGCCACAAAATTTTCTTTGCCATTTTGTCACAAATATGCACATATGTGAATATATAGCCTCCTTTTCTCAACAGAAGGAGAATCTATAATTAGCTTTAACACTTTAGGCTATTGTATATAATTCATAATATTAATTTATATTTACTCTATTTACCTTTGCTCAACTACATTTTAATCATCAATGTGGGGGAGTTCATAAAAATTTTTATTACACTCAAAAGTCTTCTTAGAGTGAAAAGGAAAGACAACATAACCAAATATTCACAAAATGATATCTCTTCTTCCTTTACCAAAATATTTTACAGAAGAAATTGGAATGTCCAAGAAAATGTGTATGCATACTTAAGGAAAAAGAACTGTGTAAGTTAGAAGTACTGACTGCTACTGTATTAGCTCAATGGAAGAAAAGGAAAACTGATGAATAGGACCAAAGATGAATGTGAAGAGAAAAAAAGCCAAAACAATGAAAGAAGTGGCGTTTCAGGTGATGAGGAAAAGAAACACTAAAAAGCATGCTTTTGAGTTTTGCATAAAGTGTGATTCCATTTAAATGTAGTCTGATTTATTTAAAGCAAGTGGACGAAGCTATTGCAACCATATTGGCTTAAAGTTATTACATGTTCCTTTAAATAGTATGTTCAGCCTATAACATAGATATAAGCAAAAAAGGTTAGGCTGTATCGCAGAGCTACGTGTTTGCCACATGTAATGAAGGGCCAAATGTACACCTATAAAAATGACTGCATCCAGCAGGCAAAAAATATTCTGTGTAGTCAGTGGAGGAGAAAACATCCACAAAGTGTAGGTACTAAGCTGTACATGACGTAAGACAGAATCACACACAAGGGTGAGTGTCTGGATCGCCACAGGCCGACCTGTTCGCACTGGCTGCTCAGGCACAGCCTGCGACCTTTTCAAAGTCTCTCTAGCAGCGACAGCATCAGGGAGCTGGCGGCGACCGCGGCCCTGTTGGTGAGCCCTGGATGCGCCCAGGTGGCACCCCTCTGGGGATAGAAGCACGACAATGTCCTTACTCTCTGAAGCAAAGCAAAAGCGGCTTCTGCAGAACATACCTTTCTGGAAGCCTTCGGCTACACAGTTCTCCTTTCCATTTAGCTTCATTATCTTGTGCTCTTTGTTGCTGCATTTGATCAAAAATAGCATGATAGTGCTCATATTGTCCTCGAGGAGCAAAAGAAGATGCAGCCACAGCCCCTCCACTGCCAATAAAGGGAGCCTAGGAATCAAACAAAGAGCTCTCACGCGCTTGTCTCGCATGGTCTGAGGGCCTGTGCTCTCCCCGAAAGAAAACATTTCAGCACTTGGCCTTTAAAAAGCAATTACCTAATTTGAACATAGACATACAGCCTAAAACAAAATGTTTTCCCACTATATTATAACCATTAACAACCAAAAGAGCAGTATACTTTGTTAGTAACAGTAAAGCATAATTTAATGTAACCACTAAAAATATAAAATGTCACCTAAATTCATGTAAATGTGGAAAAATCTTGTCTTAAGTTTTGAAACAGGTTTCCGGTATACATTTTATGTGATCCCATTCTATTAAGTTTAAATATGTATAACTTATAAGTAAAGCTGGGCCTGCTTTTGTAACATTCAAATTATATTTAACAAAAGCATTTGCATACATTATTCATACAACCCAAAACCTTTAATTCAACAAACAATGCAGACATAAAAACCATTGAAACATATTCCAGGTATAAATAAATTAAGTGAAACATCCTATCTATCCTTAAGCAGTTTATAAACAAGTCAGGAAATAAAGCACAAGCCTGGAAAAACCTTTCATGCCTGTGGTAAATGAGTGGTCACAGGCACCCTCTGAAGTACAAGTACTGAGCAAACTCACAAAACAGAAAAACTATCAAAAGTACAAATCTGTAAAAAAAAATCACTAGAGAATATATTGTTCAACCCAGTCTTGAGAGCAATGTAATAACGAGATTAAATGATTAAATGAACCGGGTGGGGAGGAGGAGGGAGATAAAGGAGCACAAAAATTCTCAATCATAACGCAGGCCGGTCACGGGGACGGTAGTGCAGCATGGAGAATATAACCAACGATTCTGTAATGTCCTCTTGTGCAGACAGACAGTGGCTGCACCAGTGGGGGTGAGGATTTACTAATGTGGGTAACTCTCACCCCTCCGTGTTGTATACTTGAAACCAACTTAAGATTGCACATCCATGATACTTCAATAAGAAAAGTATGAACCAAGGTGTTAAAGTGCAATGTATGAATACATCTGGGTGTCGCAGGGGCAGGAAGGCACACAGGAGGCCCTGTGCTCGGTCCGACAAGGCTGGTGTAGCCGCCATCAAGTCCAGCTGTCTGAGTTCATGAAATAACAACAGAAAGCACTTAAAAACTTCCAGCCAAGAGCAGCGTTCCTAAAAGCAAACAGTTTTAGGAAGGCCCATAAGTCAAACTGTGCATAATAAGCAGGAGTCAGAGAGAGACAAGGCCGAGGAAACAGCAAGCGGCTGCTGCACGGACACCCAGCCAGGCAGCCTGAGCGAACAGATGCAATGGGCGAAAAAGTACACGCGAAGGGAGCTGTGGATTCCCCGCAGGAATGATGAAGGGTAAGGCAGATATCCACATAGAACTGTCAGAGAACAGATGTCAGGAAAGGAGAAGGGCAAAAGTGCGCATGTGCATAAGGCACCCAGGTCGCGGTGGGAGCTCTTCTGGGAGAGGAAGTCACCAGCTGCAAGCGTGGGACCCGGGCTGCGGCTGAGGCCGAGGGACAGCATTTGAAAGCCGTTTCTCCCGAGTGGTACGAACAGAAGCCAGAACACTGAGAGTAAAGAAGAAATTCCAAGTGGAACACTGGAAAGAAGAAGTCTTTGTAACTTAAGGAGAGAGACAAAGAAAAAATATTCGCATCACAAAAAGGAAATACCATTGTCCTAAACAAGGTAAAATTTGTGCTAAGACCTTAACACAGAAAGTTGCATACAACAAAATAAGAAAGCACAAGATTTAAAAAAATCTGCTCAAGATAATTAAAGACAGCTGATTAAAGATGTTTGAATGGCAAGAGATGAAGTTGGTAGAAAGAGACAGCTGACGAGGCAGGAAACCCCACTAAGGCGATGCTCACCCACACCTCCAAGGTGTGCATCTGACGGCCAGAACCAGAATCCTGGTAACAGGTGGTCACAGCGACCCTGAGACTCATGACTCCTTAGGTTTAGTCTTGTGTCACATGTGCGTGTTTGCCAAAGCAAAACATCTCTGAAGATGCCAGTATTCGAAGTAACACTGAGGATACTGCACTGGAATACGGAAGCAATATGGTCTTTCAAACGGGGCCTTATTCACGGACTATTAAGCACAGTTGACCATCACAAGCCATGGCTCCAAACAGCCCCCTCAGGTTCCTCTGCAGCCTGTGCCTCCTCACTCCCGCGGCCACTGTTCTGCTCGCGGCTGTATGGACTCGATTTGCTTTTGCTGTATTTCATATAAATGGAATTATACAATATGTACTCTTGTGCCTGCCTTCATTCTTTCCTTTTTTTAAAATTAAGGTGTCATTGATATACAATCTTAAGAAGGTTTCACACAAACAACATTGTGGTTTCAACATTCATCCATATTATCAAGTCCCCCCACACCCCATTGCAGTCACTATCCATCAGTGTAGTGAGATGCCACAGAGTCACTACTTTTCTTCTCTGTGCTGTACTGCCTTCCCCGTGACCCCCTGCCACATTAGTATGCTAACCATAATGCCTCTTAATCCCCTTCTCCCTCCCTCCTTCCCACCCGCCCTTCCCCACCCCTCCCCTTTGGTAACCGCTAGTCCCTTCTGGGAGTCTGTGACTCTGATGCTGTTTTGTTCCTTCAGTTTTGTTTTGCTGTTATACTCCACAAATGAGGGAAATCATTTGGTACTTGTCTTTCTCCACCTGGCTTATTTTACTGAGCATAATACCCTCTAGCTCCATCATGTTGTTGCAAATGGTACGATTTGTTTTCTTCTTATGGCTGAATAATGTTCCATTGTGTATATGTACCACCTCTTCTTTATCCATTTATCTACTGCTGGACACTTAGGTTGCCACCATACCTTGGCTATTGTAAATAGTGCTCTGATAAACATAGGGGTGCGTATGCCTTTTTGAATCAGGGATCTTGTTTTCTTCTGGTAAATTCCTAGGAGTGGAATTCCTGGGTCAAATGGTATTTCTATTCTTGAGGAACCTCCATATTGCTTTCCACAATGGTTGAACTAATTTACATTCCCACCAGCAGTGTAGGAGGGTTCCCCTTTCTCCACATTCTTGCCAGCATTTGTTGTTCCTTGTCTTTTGGATGGTGGCCATCCTAACTGGTGTGAGGTAATATCTCATTGTGGTTTTAATTTGCATTTCCCTGATAATTAGCAAGGTGGAGCACTTTTTCATGTGCTTGTTGCCCATCTGAATTTCTTCTTTGGAGAAGTGTCTGTTGAGGTCCTCTGCCCATTTTTTAATTGGGTGATTTGCTTTTGGGGTATTGAGGTATGTGTATTTTGGATGAGGATATTCACTCTTATCAGAAGAGTCATTAAAAAATATATTCTCCCATACTGTAGGATACATTTTTGTTCTGCTGATGGTGTCCTTTGCTGTACAGAAGCTTTTTTAGTTTGATGTAGTCCCACTTGTTCATTTTTGCTTTTGTTTCCCTTGCCCGAGGAGATGCATTTAGGAAAAAGGTGCTCATGTTTATAGTCAAGAGATTTTTGACACCTGGCTTCTTTCATTCAGTGTACCGTTTTTGATTGATCCATGTTGTATGTATAAAAAGGCTGTTTCCTTTTATTACTGAATAGTATTCCCATATATTTGCAAACAATAGATGCATTTCTTATATATCATGAACACCATATGATCAAATGATAAATACGGATTATTCCATAATTTTTCTAAAAACACACATTCACCAGAAGATACATCAAAACAGTGAAGCGGAACATCCCAGAGTTTGAAGATATTAAATAAACAAAGACCGGTAGTTATTTATACTCTGAATAATGTCTTACTATTTAGAAGTATATAATAACAGTATTGATTTTGAAATATTTCCCTTAATGTTCAGGTTTTGTTTTATCTTTATTTGGAAGTTCTCCTTAATTTGATTCCCATTACACTAAACCTCCAGGTCCTTATCAACTGCACAGAAATCAGGAAGCTTAAGAAGTTAGATATTGAAGAATAAGTATAGAAACTGACATAGAATTTAAGTCATAGAAAATAAATTGTTTTATTATTCCTCAATGAAAGCACTACAGAAATTTATAAAGTGAAGCAGAAATCTGTTAAGCACATAGTATTTAATACTGTTGGAAAATTGTCTCAATTAGTTATCAAACAGTGATTAAAACTGGATTTTGGGATTAAATACAGCTTTAGACACCATAGGAAAAAAACAATACCTTATCACATAAAAGAAGATATATGCAAGGGGAAAAGAAAATATAACCAAATTCACAACCCAAATCACAGACTAGATATAAAATACTTGAAAAGATCTGGGAGCCAACACTTTGGTAAGTTTTTATTTTCCAATTGGTTAAGATCTGGGGTAAGTTTTTAAGAATGGGACAAATTCTAAGTCACTCCTTACCATTCAGGAGGTAGTAAGTTCTATTTCACATTGATGGAACAGTACAAAAATAGCAAAATATAACCTTAAAGATAAAGTTATATTACTAAATCTACATTAATACAGAATTAGAAACAAGTGACTCTTACTGAATTACTGATATGTAATATGGAAAACTTGTGCAAATCCAGACCAATTACCAGCAATGAAATTGAACTGGTAATCAAAAAACTACCTAAGAAAAAACACTTGTACCAGATGGCTTCACTGTTGAATTTTACCAAACATTTAGTGAAGACCTAATACCCATCCTCCTTTAAGTTTTCCAAAAAGTAGAGGAGGAGGAAATACTTCCAAACTCATTCTATGAGGCCAATATCATTCTAATACCAAAAGCAAGTAAAGACACCACAAAAAAAGAAAGTTACACACCAATATCCCTGATAAATATAAATGCAAAAATACTCAACAAAATATTAGCAAACAGAATTCAGAAGTACTTCAAAAAGATCATCCATCATGATCAAGTAGGATTTATTCCAGGGATGCAATGATGGTACAATATCTGAAAATCCATCAACATCATCTACTACATCAACAAAAAAGACAAAAATCACAGATCATCTCCACAGATGCTGAAAAAGCATTTGACAAAATTCAACATCCATTCATGATAAAAACTCTCAACAAAATGGGCATAGAGGGCAGTACCTCAACATAATAAAGGCCATGTATGACAAACCCATAGCCAACATCATACTGAGCAGCAAAAAGCTGAAAGCTTTTTCTCTAAGATTGGGAACGAGACAAGGATGCCCACTATCCCCACTTTTATTCAATATAGTACTGGAGGTCCTAGTTACAGCAATCAGACAACACGAAGAAATAAAACACATCCAGATTGCTAAGGAAGAAGTTAAACTGTCACTGTTTACAGAGGACATGATACTGTACATAAAAAACCCTAACAAACCCACCCCAAAACTATTAGAACTAATAACTCAATTCAGCAAAGTTGCAAGATACAAAATTAATACACAGAAATCTGTTGCATTCCTATATACTAACGATGAACTAGCAGAAAGAGAAATCAGGAAAACAGTTCCATTCACAATTGCATCAAAAGAATAAAATACCTAGGAATAAACCTAACCAAGGAAGTGAAAGGCCTATACCCTAAAAACTACAAGACACTCATAAGAGAACTTAAAGAAGACACCAATAAATGGAAATACATCTTGTGCTCATGGATAAGAAGAATTAATATTGTCAAAATGGCCATCCTGCCTCACACAATCTACAGACTGAATGCAATCCCTATCAAAATACCAATGGCATTCTTCAGTGACTAGAACAAACAGTTCTAAAATTCATATGGAACCACAAAAGATCTGGAATAGCCAAAGCAATCCTGAGAAGAAAGAATAAAGTTGGGGGGATTATACTCCCTTACTTTAAGCTGTAGTACAAAGTCACAGTAATCAAGAAAATTTGGTACTGGCACAGGAAAAGATCCACAGATTAGTGGAACAGAATACACAGCCCAGATATAAACCCAAGCATACACAGTCAATTAATATACGATAAAGGAGCCATGGATATACAATGGGGAAATGACAGCCTCTTCAGCAACTGGTGTTGGCAAAACTGGACAGCTACATGCAAGAGAATGAAACTGGATTATTGTCTATCCCCATACACAAAAGTAAACTCTAAATGGATCAAAGACCTGAATGTAAGTCATGAAACCATAAAACTCTTAGAAGGAAACAGGCAAAAATCTTTTGAATATAAACATGAGCAACTTTTTCCTGAAAACATCTCCTCAGGCAAGGGAAGCAAGAGCAAAAATGAACAAGTGGGACTACATCAAACTAAAAAGCTTCTGTACAGCAAATGGCACCATCGGCAGAACAAAAAGGCATCCTACAGTACGGGAGAACATACTCATAAATGACAGATCTGACAAGGGGTTAACATCCAAAATACATAAAGAACTCACACACTTCAACACCCAAAAAGCAAATAACCCGATTAAAAAATGGGTGGAGGATACAGACACTTCTCCAAGGAAGAAATTCAGATGGGCAACAAGCACATGAAAAGATGCACCACATCCTTAATTATCAAGGAAATGCAAATTGAAACCACAATGAGATATCACCTCACACCAGTTAGGATGGCCACCATCCAAAAGACATGGAACAACAAATGCTGGTGAGGATATGGAGAAAGGGGAACCATCCTACACTGTTGGTAGGAATATAAATTAGTTCAACCATTGTGGAAAGCAATATGGAGGTTCCTCAAAAATAGAAATACCATTTGACCCAGGAATTCCACTCCTAGGAATTTACCAGAAGAAAACAAGATCCCTGATTCAAAAAGACATAGGCACCCCTTTGTTTATTGCTGCACTATTTACAATAGCCAAGGTATGGAAGCAACCTAAGCCTTCAGCAGTAGATAAATGGATAAAGAGGTGGTACATATACACAATGGAACATTATTCAGCCATAAGAAGAAAACAAATACTACCATTTGCAACAATGATGGAGCTAGAGGGTATTATGCTCAGTAAAATAAGCCAGGTGGAGAAAGACAAGTACCAAATGATTTCCCTCATTTGTGGGGTGTAACGGCAAAGCAAAACTGAAGGAACAAAACAGCAGCAAACTCACAGACCCCCAGAAGGGACTAGCAATTAGCAAAGGGAAGGGGTGGGGGAGGGTGGATGAGGAGAGAGGGAGAAGGGGATTGAGGGACATTATGATTAACACACACAGTCTGTGGGGGGGTGGGTAACGGGAAAGGCAGTGTAGCAAAGAGAAGACAAGTAGTGGCTCTGTGGCATTTTACTATGCTGATGGATAGTGATTGCAATAGGGTGTGGGGGGATTTGGTAATATGAGTGGACGTAGTAACCACAATGCTTTTCATGTGAAATCTTCTTAAGAGTGTCTATCAATGATTAAATGAATAAATGAATGAATGGACAGACAGATAGAAAAACTTGTGCATCTGAGACTGAAAAACAAATCAGGAAAACCAGCACAGAACATAAATTTCTACATGAAACAGACAAAGCCAAGTTTTATTCAGGTTATAACTTTTAGGGTAAAGAAACAAATAAGAACGGTCATCAACTTAACCTGACAAATACCTTCCTGGGTACCTGAATACGAAGTTTAACAAGCACAGGCCAGGGGATTCACAATTTGAAGACATGCTGCCTGACTGCTGAAATGAATGATACAAATTAAAGTTATAATGCAATGGATTAATAGTGTATTGATTTTTCATATATATATATATATATGAAAAATGAATACACTATAGCAGTTTAACGAACTACCACCAACCTGTCAGCTTTAGACCCACCATTTATCATCTCGGTTTCTCTGGCTCAGGAGTCCGGTGTGCCTCACTGGACCACCTGCTCAGGATCTCACGCAACGAAATCAAGCTGTCAGTCGGGGCTGTAATTCTCACTGAGGTCTGGGCTTTTTTTCCAGCTCACTGGTTCTTGGCAGTTCATTTCCTTGTGGCCGGAATGGCTACGGCCACGCTTTCTTTCTAGTGACTGGCCAGAGACCACTATGAGCTCCTGCAGGCTGCCTGCACGTCCGCGCCCTGTGAACCGGGTGCTGCTTTCTCCAGGACCAGCCGAGCACGTCCCTCTGACTTCTTCTCCCCACAAGTCTGCCCTGAAGGAGCCTCACCAAATGCTATTGGGATGCCAGGATGGCGGCAACACTGCTCGTGCCCACCAACCTGCAACTCCACAGGCCCACCCAGAGCTCAGTGGGAGGGAATGATACAAGGCAGGTAAAACAGCGGCCAGAATTTGGGGGCCCATCTTAGAATTCAGCCTACCACAGATACGTAAAGGATGCCGGGACAGTGGAGGAGGAAATGAAGGATTCAGAATGGCAGAAGAAAGGAAAAGGGAATTAATATGAGCCCTTGCCAGTCAAGCTCCAGGCACTGTTCTTAAAATGTTTCTTGTTTTTAAAAAAAGAAGTGAAGACTCAGAGAAGTTAAGACCTCACCCAAAGTCACACAGTCTGGATCTACCCAAAGGAAGTGTCTGGATTAACGTACCTAGGTAAGTCAGCGGCGGGAGTAGTTATCTTGCTGCCTGGATGGAGGAGGGAGAGAGCAGGCAGGGAGGGAGGGGTGCTACCGAGGGCAGGGCAACATGAGGGCAAAGACAGAGACTGCGCAGGCCACGCGCAGAAGGGCAGCGACACACAGGCCCTGGGTTGGCACCGGAGCACCCAGTGGGGGAGGGGACGGAGGGAGACAGGCTGACAGACACGCAGGTTAGCAGGTCTTCTGAAAACTCACTCCTTCAGGCTCCATGGAGCCACAGAAGGGCTTTAGGCAAGGGTGTGACAAACTGTATTGATATTAAAAAGATCCTTCGGGCAGGAATGATGTTTCACAGCCTTCACATCAAAGTTTTAAGCAGTTCTAACAGTGTTACCTACTAGTTATCAATACAAGTTACATATCAAATACACACAAGAAAACTAAGAATTCGTAACAGCTGCTGAAGAATTCCAGGTAAAAAGAACAGACAGTTACACACACTTCCAAGAGCAAAGTGAAGCTGGGGAAAAACAGCAGCAGTAAAATGATGCTGGAATCCAACGCCTACCTTCACTTCACCACCTCCTCCGGCACTTAGCACGTCTCTCCAGCCTTGCTCCCTGGCCCTATTTGTTCTCTCCAACTTGTGGGGAAAGGACACAAACAAAACACCATTTCAAGTATTTAATATAAAATACATGAAATACATTCAGTAATAAAATGGAAATCAGGGTATTCCTTTAACAAAGGAATTGTGCAGGGAGGTGGAATGTGCCCCGGGAAACAGGCCGTCCCTGCACCTTCTTCCCCTCCCTTTCCATCCGCTCTGCCTTCATTAAACTGACACGTAACAATTTCAAAAACTGACTTCTTAGAACCCTTGAAGCTATTATCATCTACAACTCGGCGGGGGAAGAAAAATAAGAACAAAAAAACTACCTGATCCTTTTGTTTCTTTTCTTTTTCAGTAAATTCCGACCTTTTCTTTCTTGGTGCCTCCTTAAATAAAGAAAGAACATTTTTATCAGTAATAATTCTACGTTTTCTGGTTTCCTCAGGAGAGTTAGTACACCAGTGGTAGATGTATGCCAGGGAGGTTAAAAAAAAATTAAGTTAAAGGTATTTGCTTGAAAGAAATAAGGAGGAAAGGTTTGGAGGTTTTATAAGATTTGTTCTTTTCTTGTACTTATTTCTGCAAAGCTTTAAAATAAGCAGACAGATGCCTTTATACCTCAAACATTTTCCTCCTTTCTTCTACACGATTCACTTTCTTCAGTGGAGTTTGATGGGCCTGGACAAAAAGTAAAACTACAAATTAGATAAGGATTTTGAGGTACCCACTTGAATTACTCAAGTTTATGGAAATGTAAAATAAGAAAATGGTAAAGCCAATACTGCCGTAGCTCTCCAAATATATTACCCCTAAAAATAAAGAACTGCTGTAGTGTTTGTATGCTGTTTGTTAAATAAAGAGAAATATTACATTCAAAGAAACTGGAAACAGGTCTTCCCCAATCAAGTAAAAAGTCTGTCCTTGGATACAAATGTTAATTTTATATTTTCTAATATTATTGAAGAAGGTCATTGAGAAACCCAAAACTGAAGAGATAAATTTTTCTAAAAAAAAATTAATTACACAATAAATGTTCACTATATACAATTCAAACAAGACTAAAAAGTCAGACTACTTCATGTCCCATCTCCAGAGGTAACCATTACTAATATTTTCACAAGTGTCCTTCCAGACACACTTAAGTACATACATATGTACATACGTTGAATTTTAGCTTTTTCTGTTTTTCACATAAATATGATAATAAAGTGCCACTAGATGGAAGATGCTTTTACTACTCACAGCGTTCTGCACCATTTCTGAGTCATAGCAGGCAGATTAACAATGGCAACAGCCCAGACCACGGGCATCAATAATTCACTGAACCATCATTCCTCTAGGGTTAGACATTGGGCTGGTTCCACTTTTTCCTACCTTATGCTGTAAGAAGCTTCTTTCATGCGTGCATTTTTGTGCCATACTGCGTGTCTTTAAGGGTATTTTTAAAGACATGGAATTACGGAGTAAAAATATAATTTAAATGTTGAGAAAAACTTCCTTCCCAAGAGGCTGCATCAAATTATACTCCCACCAAAAAACTCATTTCCCCACAACCTCAAATATATTGAATATTATCAATCATCTTGAATTTCTGCTCTTTGGTAAGGGTAAGAATACTTTCCAATATATTAGAGATTTACATTTGTTTTTGTATACACTAATTGCTCATCTAATTTTAGGGTTGTTCAATTTCAGGAGCTCTTTATATATTATGGAAATAAGACTATTATAGATGCTGCAAATATTTTTCCCATCATCTTGTAGTTTACTGTATCTTTCACTGCAGTTTTTAATTTATAATTAAATCTGCCAATCTTTTCCTTTATATCTGCATATATAGTTTTTGCTAAAAAAGACATTCTAGATCTCAGTACTTCAATATTACATTTGCTTCTTCTACTTAGTCTCATTTTTATACTTAGATATTTAATTTAGATTTTTAAATATTTACAGCTAGATTTTTATTTTTAGGTCTATATGTGGAATACATTTTTTTATTCACGGAATGAATTCGGTATCGTTTTTTTTTCTGTAGAAAATCCAACTATATAATACTTATCTCCTAGCTATTTATTGGCTAATACGTCTTTTTCACTATTGGTTTGAAACGCCTCATTAATCATGTAACACATTCACACACATATGGCTCAGCTCTGGCGTTCTCTACTCTGTCCCACTTACCCCTGTCTTTCTTTTTCTTTTCCTTTTGCTTTTACTGTGATACAAAGTCACCTACAGAAAAGTTGGTCAGCAAACACAGAGGAAACGCCCATGTAACTACCACCCCAGACAACAGACAAGAAAGAGGACATTGGCAATACCCAGAGGTCCTCCCCGTGCCAGTCCACAGTCTGACCTTGACCACGGAGGTAGCCACCACCCTGACTTGTATAATTACCATCTCGCTTTCCTTTATTGTTTTGTCACTTACATATTCTTTCCTGAACAGTAGAGTTTGGTATTTTTTCTGTTTCTGAGTTTTACAGGAATGAAATTATACAATACATATCCTTTTGCATTTTACTTCCTTGTTCCAGTTTTCAAGATTCACCTGTTACTTTGTAACCACACGTTTTCCCGACTGACACACTGTTCCACTGATGCTGATCCCTTTCTTTCAGTTGTCTTGTAACTTTTTCCATTAGCTCTACTCTGAAGATTGGGGGGCTTTGTCACTATTTATTTCCATTTTGTTTTCTGATTATTCATTTTTGCATGTTGTGCTTTTATCAGGCCACTTTACTGAACTGAATTCATTAATAATTTTCTGCTGCTTCACTAGGATTTTCTGGGTGTCATATCTGTAAATAATGCCTGTTTTCTCTCCCAAAACTTGTTTCTTCTTTCTTCCCCTTTTCAATTGCATTGGTTAGGATTTCCAGCATAATATTAAAAAACAGCAACTGCAGCAAACATGCTTGTCTTGTTACTGGATAAAGTATAAGTATAATTCAGCAGGTTGGAAGGTAAAGCAATGGACAGACAGAGCAGCTAAAAAAAAAAAAAGAATTAAAAAAAGGATAATTTACAGGCCCTCTAGGACCTTTGTAACCACATTAAACAGAATAACATTCACATTACAGGGGCCCAAGAAGGATACAGACAGAAAGGGTCAGAAAACTCTCTGAAGAAGTAATGGCTGAAAACATCCCTAACCTAGGGAAGGAAACAGACATTCAGTTCCAGGAAGCCAAAAGAATTCCAAATAAAATGAACCTAAAGAGAGCCACACCAAGATATACTTGAAATTTCAAAAGTTACATATAAGGAAAGAATCTTAAAAGAAGAGAAAAATAAATTGTTCTTCAGCTCCATGACTTCTGTTTGGTATTTTCTTATGGTTTCTGTCTCTCTTGAAGTTCTCACTGTTCATCCATTCTCTCGAGTGTGGTGAGCATCTTTATGACTGTTACTTTGAATTCTTTATTGGGCACCGTACTTATTTCCATATCATAAAGTTCTTTTTCTGAGGTTCTGCCTTATTCTTTCATCTGGAACATATTTCTGTTCCTTCATTTTGCTGGACAGTCTGTGTTTGCTTCTGGGCATCAGGTGAAACAGCTGCCTCTCCCAGTCTGGAAGGAGTGGCCTCGTGTAGGTAATGGTCCTACTTGTTCAAACTTGTCCTAGCTTTTAGTTGTCTCTCAAACATTTGTGATTGTCTAAACCACCTGGTTTATTCTTGATATGTCTCCATTGTTGAGGGTGTGCCAAGACCTGCCAGTGACCCATGGGGAGGAATCTCGTATAGCCAGAGAAAGGAGTGGAGGGGGCACACTTGCCAGCTTCAGAGAGGCAGCGGGAGAGTCTTCTCTGCACCCTGCGGCTTCAGCCGCACAATGAGGGGGAGCTTTGTCTGCACACGCAGTGGCTTTAGGCCGTGAGTGGGGTGGTACCCAGGCTTGTGCTAGCAACCGCAGCTGGTGCGTGGGGGGTGTCACAGCCGCCTGCACTCACAGCTTTAGCTGGGCACAGGAGCGCTCGAGACCCTGTGAGCTCTCCTGCGTTCCCAGCCAGAGGCGGGGCAGCACTGCAACCACCTGCAGTTTTCAGTCTGAGCAGGTATTTCCACCAGTCATCCCGCCCATCCCAGCGAAGTGGCAGGACAGCACTGCGTCTGAGCTCACCACCCGCCTGTGGGGAGAGGGCACGGCAGCTCCCTGGAGTGTCTCACTGTCCCTGCCCTTCCAGCAGATGCCTAGATGAGCAGGTGGATGTTGTACTGTGGTTTGGAAAAATGCTTATTATGATTTCAGCCTTAAATTTATTGCAGTTTGTTTTGTGATTTGTTTTGGAGAATGTTACTTGTGTACTTGAGGAAAATGTGTATTCTGCTGCTTTGGAATGGAATGTTTTGTATACATCTATTATATCCATCTGGTCTCATGGGCCATTTAAAGCAGATGTGAGAGACTTGCACTTCCCTCATGCAGTCTAGATGCTTTTCAAACTGCTGTTTTTCCACTGGGTCTCTTGGTGAGCAAGACTGCAGATGACCCCTCCATGCAGGGAAATCTCAGTTTCTTATAGCACTCTGGGACTCCTGGACATTAGCCCATTGGTTTTGTAAGCCAGGTATCCTGAGGGGCTCGTCTTTCTGGTGCAGACCCTAGGGCCTGGGTGTCCAGTGTGGGGTACACCCCCTGCTCCTCTGGGAGAAGTGCCTGTCTGGTGACATACCCAGGAAATCCCAGTAGGCTCTCAGATTTCTCAGCAGAAACTTTGAGGGAATGTTGTGACTTAGTCAAAGTGCTGTAAAGAAAAACTTCAACCAAGAATACCCAACAGGTTGTCATTCAGATTTGAAGGAGAGAGAAGAGTTTTCCAGGCAAGCAAAAGCTAAAGGAGTTAATCTCTACTAAACCAGCCTTATAAGAAATATTAAACGGAACTCTTTAAGCCAAAAAGAAATGGTACTAATCATAAGAAAATATTTGAAAGAAAAATAATCTTACTAGATAAGTTAAAGACACAAAGTAGGTAGTGAATTAATCATTTATAAAACCACTAAGAAGGTTAAATGACAAAGTAGCATAATTAATTAAAACTACAATAATTAGTTAAGGGATAAATAAATAAAAAGGTGTAAAAAGTGACTTCAAGTGCATAAATTGGGGTACAAAAATGTAGAGTTTTGGAGTATATTCAAATTTAAGTTGCTATGAACTTAAAACAGACTCTCATATACATATGATGATATATGTGAACCTTGCAGTAATGACAAAGCAAAACTTATAACAAATACACAAACGAAAAAGAGAAAGTTATCTAAACATAACTCTAAAGAAACTCAGCAAACCACAAAGGAAGAGAGAAAGAGAACAGAACCAAGAGGAACAAAACCAGCCAGAAACAATGAACAAAATATATAAAACAAGTATAAAGACACACAAAAGGAGAAAATGATACTAATAAAATGATGACAACTAATAATTAATAGTAATAATAATATGAGACTTTAATGTCCCACTTACATCAGTATATAGATTATCCATCCAGAAAGTCAATAAGAAAGTATCTGCTTTAAATGATATATGAGACCGAATGGACATAATACATGTATACAAACATTCCCTCCCAAAGCAGTAGAACACATTTTTCTCAAGTGCACAGGTAACATCCTCCAAAACAAATCACGTTAGGCCAGAAAACAAACGTCAATAAATTTAAGGCTGAAA